AGTGGGGGAGGCGAGGTTCTGAGAGCAACTGAAGTCCCACTTCCTACTGTGGGCTCTCTTTGGGGTCCTGGGAACACACTTTTCCACCCTGGCCCAGCTCGGGGAGGCGGGGAGCCCCAGCCTAAAGTCAGTAGAGAGGGGGCAAGTGCTGAGACCAGAGGCCTAACCCCAGGCGCCTTGAGAATAGGTATAGCTACATATTTATCCTATATTTACTAGTTATTTTAAAACGAACCACGTTGTGAGTAGGCAGAGCGAGCGTTAGAGCGCGGCTGAGATTGTGATGCTTTTCAAAAAGGTCTGAAGGTCTTAAAAGAGTAAAATCACTGGGGCAGATGTTCCGCCTTCTGTTAGGAAAGTATTTTTGAGGTGATGCTGGGAAAATGGTTTACCTTAACTCTACCATGACGGTAGTGATGAACTAATACGCAATTAGCAGACCTGTAAAATATCCTGGACATAGACAGCAAGANACGGTAGTGATGAACTAATACGCAATTAGCAGACCTGTAAAATATCCTGGACATAGCAAGGGGCTACATCATTGTTACCTTAGGAGACAATGGAATTTTAAAATTCACGAGTCCTCAAGTCAGTAACTGAATATTAAGTCTTGATTCCTGAAAGGGTTATTGTTCACTGGGAACACAGTACAAGCGGGGGATCAGGTACGCAATGGAAGTGGCGGTTTATGCTAACCATGCAGCGCTTACCTTGAGAAAACACTAAAAACCCTAAGGGTTCCCAAGTAGTGGTCAACCAATGAATATTTAACCAATTACTGTAATTCATTAGGCACGTGTGATGAGAAACTAGCGATGTGGAATTTTATTATATAAGATTTTCAGTCATAAAAATAAAAAGTCATAGTGAACAGATTTGCAGACACTAAAAAATGTTAAAGTAATAACATCTTACATATTTGCATTACTATTAAATAATTAATACAAGTTATTCTTTAGCAATGTGGCTCTCAAAGACTGCATAAATCCCAACATAATTACCCAATATATAATCACTTATCATTTAGAATTAATACTTTCAGATGTTCATCTATATGTATAATTTCACATACGAAGTTGGAGAGTTCCATATATTTTCAAGCCACTCTAGTCTATCGAAGTCATGTGTTCTGTCTTCAGGTATTTGCTGAAAACTGGGCTTTTCATACAGTCAGTGCATTTTAAAATAACTTCACACGTTATTCCTGAAAATTGATTTAATCCATAAGTAAAAAATAAATGGCTTCTTTCAATGAACATACCATTTTTATATTTTTAACATTTTATACAATATACTATAAAATATTTTCTACAACTTAATCACAATATTATATTGTGCATTCCTAAACTAGAAAACACATAATTATAGTATTTACATAGATGAACATTTTCTTTGTTACTATGTATTTCTAGTACAAAATAATTTAAATAAAATAGCTTTATAGAGAGAGTAATATTAACAACTATGATACTAAAAAACATATCATAGTGGCTAAACGTTTGCTGTTAAGAATAAAGCACCATTAAAAAAAAAAAAAAACACCCAACAGGATCACCCTATGAAATTCTTTACAAGCTCCTGCTTCGATTCTTTAAAAACTGAACTTTTGGTAGAGGGGGTGGGACAGGGGTGGAATGGGTCTTTGGGGAGAAAAAGGGACATCTGTTTTATTTTAAACAAACCAAAAAAAAAAAAAAAAAAACCCACCACAAAAAAACCCCCCTGAAATTCATAATAACTTGAAAAAGAAAATGTGATTTACCTAATAAATTGTTTGTAGACTTTTGCCAATAGAAACTGAAGCACCTAATTAAACACTGATCGTTTTAACAGTTTATATTTATGTCAAAAAGTCTATTAACGTTACAACAAAAACTAATCACCTCTCTGCATTTTTCAAAATTTATATTCCTGAGGAAATAATGCAACCGGGATGGTCTCAAACATGAAACCTCATTAAGTTGTTTTTTAGATTTATTATCCAAGTTCTAACAGGATTCTGCACATTGTAACTACACATATATATTTTTCATCCTTCTGCCCACTGGAAGTTACAACGACCCCATCGAGTTATCTGATGGAAGACAAAACTACCTAGGAGTGAGCCTGTTTTTCAAGAAGTAGGCCTCATTTTTTTTTAAAGTGTTAACTGTGGCTTGAGATGATTAAAATACGGTTGGTGGGGATCCCTTGGATTTACCACTCTCTTCTAGGTTTATAAGGCCATTGTCCCGAGAAATCTGAATGCGTCCCGACCAGAAAACCTGCCACTCACGACGAAAGCCCACGCTGACTGCAAACGTCTCCTCTCAGGAGCTACGGAAACTTCCACCAAGGTTCCTGCGTCTGGAAGTCAGGCCGCCCGCGACGGCGGGAGGCAGGGACGGCCGAGCCCGCAGGGGGCCGGGGAGGGAAAGGCGGCCTCCCGAAAACAGACCGTTAGTGACACTTCCCTGTAGGCCAAACACAGCGCCCTAGGAACACACCTTGTGTGTGTCCCGGCGGCGGCGGCGGCGGCGAGTGTGCAGCGGCGTCCCGCCCGGGAAACCAGGAGGACCTGGGAGGTGGGCGCAGAGCCCGCAGGCTGCCCGGGAGTCCGCGGACCAAGGTGTGCGCGGGGTCGGGGCTCGGCGGCGCGCGGCACTGAGCGCCGCCCCTCTGAGCAAGTGTGACCCGTGTGGAGGCTGCAAGGAGCCTCCAGTCTCCCCCGGAAGATGATTTACATGTGTGTCAAATCACACCAAACGGGAGGATTGCGGGGCAGGTTCCCTCGGGACTTTTCGCGGCCTTTCCTACCTGCTCTTCCAGGATGCGGCTGCCGCGCTCGGCGCTGGCTCCTCAGCAGCGTCAGCACGAGGGCCACGGCGGCCCGCAGATCCGGCTCTGCGCGCTCGCCGCTCCGCCGCGGGATCTGCACCACGAACGCTCTCACTCGCGGGGGGCCACTCGAGCGCCGAATCCGCACGGTGACCAGCAAGGTACGCACCATCTTCGGGTCGCCGCGGAGCTGAGCGGGAGCTGCGCCGCGCTGCCTATTGGCATCAGAGGTGAGCAGCGTCGCGCCCGCCCCCCTCTTTAAAAAGGAGACCCAGGGCCGCGGAGGGGCCCATCCCCG